TTCCACATCCACCAGAGATTTGAAAATTATTATTCCATGTGGATTTTGTGCTTCCCTAATAGGACAGTGTCTGTACAAACCCACTAAGCTATGCAATTATCACTTCTTGATTCACTCCAAGGTCCATTCATCTAACCCACATTTCCTGAGCTTACCTGCAAGGATGTTGTAGGAGACAATATATATGAGGTTGCCTCTCAGTCATTTCTTCTTGAGGCTGAACAGTCCCAGCTCCCTCATTCTATTAAGAAAGATGCTTCAGTCCCTTTGTCACCTTCTGTTGGACCTGTGCCAGGACCTCCAAGTCTTTCTTGTAATGAGGAGCCCAAAACTGGAGAAAGCACTCCAGATGTAGCCTCACTGAGGTTGAGTAGAGGAGCAGGATCACCTCCCTTGTTGTCCTTGACATGCTTGGCCACATTTAATTCCAGATGCACCTTGACCTTCCTTGACTTATTTCTACTTACTCTGACAACCTGCCTATCTTCATTCTAAGTGGCCTGACCCTTTTTCCATCTCCTGTGTACTTCCTGCCTGGGTAATGACACTTCTTCATTTGATCACGTAAGTCTGTTACCCCCTTTGCCTGACTTCTTGTGTGTTGGGGTGTTTGTTCTTGAGCCTGGAGAAACTTATCCTTGAACATCTACCAACTCTATTGCACCTCTCTTCCCTTAAGGGGCTCTTCCTGGAGGATTCTTCCAAGAAGATCCCCAAAGAGGCTAAAGTTAGCTCTCCTGAAGTCCTTGGTTTTCATTTTACTTGCTTCCTCCTACCCTGATGCTGAAGTTTCCAGCCTTCACATCCCAACAAGGTCTTCCCTGTTAGTGTGAGGTCAAGCAGCACAATAATCCTACCTGTGGCAGGAAGTTGTCATCGCTGCTTCCCTTTGGGCTGTTTGTGTTTCATGGTGCTGGTTCTGCAGCAGATGTCAGGGTAGTTAAAGTCCTCCACAAAAACCAGTGTCTGTGACTCTAAGGCTGCTTTGTGCTGCCTGTAGAAGATTTCATCCACCTTCTCCTGCTGTTCAGGGCCTGTAGCGAACACCCACAAGTGTCACCCACTGATCTGCCTTTTTATCCTGACCCATAAACTCTTGACTTACTCACCATCTACCCCAAGATAGAGATCTATACATTCCAGGTGTTGCCTCAAGAGAGGCAACTCCACTGCCTCACCTTCTTGGTCTGCCTCTCCTAAATAGCATTTCCTTTATTACAGCATTCCAGTCATGTGTGTTCTCCCACCACATCTCTAATTGCAATGGTCAGAATCCTTTGACAGCAAACAGATCTCTAATTCCTCCTGTTTGTTCCCCATTTTGTGTGCATTGTTGTACAGGCACTCCATGGAAGTATTTGATTATGTCATATATCCCAGTGGAAATGCATAGTCTGTCTTCTGGTTACGTCTTTGGATGCATGTACCCTCGGGAGGCATCCCCTCTTAAGCATCTTTTGCTGTTTAGGTGATCACTGTACTTCTCACCTTCCCACACCTTTTCTCTGTCAAGCCTGGCCTTGTCCCTGTCCCCCTTTTAATCCAGTTTTAGGGTCTTTTCAGTGTACCCTGCTAAGTTCCTTTTCCTTCTTTGAGCTAGAAGAATCTCATTTGTTGTCAGCAGACTCAGTATCATATAAGCTGACCCATGATCAAAACCCCACAAATTCTGATGGTAACACCACCCTTGTGTTCCTTTGAAGCCATTTTCCTGGATTTTGCCCCATCGTTCCCTGCAGCTGGAAGGACAGAAGAGAACACAGCTTGTGCTCCAGATCCCTACCAGTTACCCTAAGGCCCTGAAGTGAGGCCCTTAATCACTCACAGCCTTTTTATTGGGACTTGGTTGCTACCCACCTGGTAAACAGGTAATAGGGTAGTTAGTGATCAGTCGGCAGTTTCTTGGTGATATCTCTTATTTGGGCTCCATGGAGGCAACATACTTCTGTATAGGTTAATTCTGGCTGGCATATTGGGCTCTTCATTTATCTAAAAAAGGAGTCACTACTGTAGTTCTTTTTTTTCTTAATTGAGGAGGTCAGGGTGTAGGGGGTAGGCTGCCTTGTCCTAGACAATCGGTCCATCCTAGATGGACTTTCATCCACATGCTTATTTCCCTGATTCTGAGATTCCAGGGCCCCATACCTGTTGCATAAGGGCACCTGGAAAGTTTCCATTCACCTCTGTCTCTAAGGTCCCATGCTACCTGGTGGTGAGAGAGTGGGGAATTCATGGCTTCATGTGAAGTGGACAGTGGGTGCATTTGTCTGAGGTGTGGTAGAATGTGGCTCCACCACTCGGTCTCTTCCTCAGACTCCCTAATTCTTCTTCATTTTTCTACTTTGTCTCTCAGCTCCAGCATTAGGCTTTGTAAGTCATCCACCTGATCACAACTCACACAGCTGTTGTCTCTGCTGCCTTGAGAGCAGCACCAGGTTCCATCATTCCCTGCAGCCTGAGACCCAGACTCTTGCATGGTTTCTTGGATACTCCATCTGGGTTGCTCCATCCTTTCTGGTGTGCACAGAGGAAGTAACTTTTGTCCAAACAAACACCACACCTCATCTGAGACTGAAGATGACCAACTGAGCTAAGTGTGTGAGTTGTCAGTGCGCCAGTGCCTGTTTTGCTTACCCTGCCAGTGCAAACAGTGTGATGGTGCACTGGCTCGTGTTTCATGCTGTTTGGCCTCTCTGTTCATTGTGTTCCTGCCTGCTTGCCCTCCCTGGGGGCAGCTTTAGTACATGTGGGGGGTGGGTCCTGTCTCTTCTACTGCCATCTATGCTCAGCTCTCCAAAAGAAAAAAACATTTTGAAATCTCTGTGTATATTTCTAGTTTTCAGTTCTGTTTCCATGCCAGAATAAAGGCTAAGGGTGTAGCAAGTATTAGGATAAAATAGTTTTGCTAGTAGCACCTGATATTTTGTTAAGGTTTCTTGGAACTGATGAAGCTCTGCAGCCCAGTGAGGTGTCCCTCAAATCTCAAACACCAAAGGAAACCAGCTTGCCAATGTTTAGGAAGAAAAGTCTATATTTCTTTCAAGAACTGTGCTTTCAAGCTTTAAAGAAAAGCTTTAAAGAAAACTCTAGAAACAGTATCTGGTGTAGCAAAAGATATTATTAGCCAGTAAAAGAAAGGTCTATTTTCTTGAAAAAGTTGCATGTCTGAAGTCAGAGGTTGTCTTATTTACTTTTACAAATTACCATATCACAAAAAGCATTAAAGAAGCACTTTAATTAGCAAGTGCAGTGAATGTTGGTATTGCTATCCAACAGCCCTGTAGGGATCACAGTTTGTTTACTTTGATATTGGCCTTTCACCTGTGATGGCCAGAAACCATAGGTTGTTTTCTAAATTTGGCTTACCTTTTCAGTTCCTTCCAGCCATGCTATCAGGGTTTTTATCTATAAGAATCAAACATTGTAAATAATGCAGTAGCACTGAAAGTATTGTTCATGTTCTTACTTTATTTCAGCATAGTAAAGTGACATATGTAGCCTGTAAATTGCATTTTGAAATGAAATCATTTAGTGGCCTCTATTTTTGTATCTACTTGAAGTATTTTAATAGCATTACAAATTCTTTCCCTTCCAAAAAAAATTATAAAATATTTATTTGGTCAAAGATATTTTGAACTGATTAGAGTATATGTCTATAGAAGCGTGGAATCTTCTATTTTCATTCTTGGGATAGCTCTGTATATTTTTTTCTGTTTTGTGCTTGAAGAATGGAGGAGGTAAAAGAAACTAGGGTGCCTTGCTCAGCACTTTGGGACCTGTAACAAATAGAATGCAGGAGAATATGGCTGGATAATACCAGTTTGCTTTTTTTTAGACCACTGCTACAGGAATACTGTCTATACTCTATGTTCAACAAAATTGTCTGTAGCTGTAAGAAAGGTATCTGAAACTTAGCAAAATCCTCAGTTTTCATCATCATATGGACTTGTAATTCCATCCATGTTTGCTATTTTGTGACCATGTATTGTAGCTGAAGCATTAGCATATAACTTGAGCTTGTACATTCTTTGTCAACAGTGGCTAAAATTTATTATATTCCTATACCAGTGGGGTCTGTTTAAATGTTTCAATCACAGCATACTCTTAGGCATCAAGAACCCATTTTAAGTCTCTGAGTTCACTTAGAGCTCTCACCACAGTGTCTTGATTCTAGTACTGCAGTCTGCATCCTCTAACTGTAGTCCTGGCATTTCCTGACTTGTTACCATTTTCATTTCTCTATACCAGCTTGCTATTTTAAATCTCCTTCTTTTCCTATTTCAGGGCATTTAGAGGAAAAAAAAATGTTCTGTAACTTTAAAAAATCTATTATGGCACTAGGCAAAATAAAAAACATTTGTATTACACTGTTCTTCTGAAAACTTAGTTCTGTATGAGACCTAATTAATCTGTGAATATATAAGTAGGGGGTTGATTACAAAGTAATTAAGAGATCACCTTTACTTCCCCTTTTCCAGCTGCTGCCAATCTGTCTATGTTTATGTTCCAGAGCCTTCCTTATTTTTTTCCTCTCCTTTATACTAATTTTATTTCTTCTTTGTAGAGCAATGGTCTTTCTGAAATTGGAGCATGTAATTGCTTACTAAGCAATCGTTGTTAAGTCAACTGATAAACTGCATTGTGGACAACTAGGTGCAGGCTGTTGGAGTGCTAAGGGTTATCATCAGGAGCCAGGAATCCATCTGTAACTGAAGACTTTGTTTGTTACTTACTTTGTTAGTGAGTAACTTACTAAATTGAAAGTAACATACTTTGTTACTTTCTTTGTTCTCATGTATCTTGTTGTTTAACTGTTTATTAAGAGATAGTTTTATCTTCATTACTAACAATATTTGCTCATTTTGTGTGTTACTTGATTGTGAAGAAGGAAGGAGGTATTTTCTTTTGTCTAGGTAAAAATGATTTTGTTAAGTAGAAAAACTTCTGTAAATATTTCTTCTGGTTTTGTTTGTTTTTTTTTTTTTTCCCTCTGATCCCAGGAATATCAAGTAGCAGCAGAGAAAAGTAAGGCAAAAATTTATGTACTTGAAAAAAGTCAAGAGAAATTGGCTCTTGAAAACACTTCTGTGAAAAAGATGTTAACACAGTTTCAGAAGGAGCATTCCTCACTCCTGGCAGCCTGTGCACTATTAGCAGGTGCCCTGTATCCTCTGTATGGCCGATTGTGTGCTGTGTCTTCCCAAAGAGACCTTCTCCAGGATCAAGTGAACACATATGAATTAGTGAACCAGAAGATTAGGACCCTAGTTCATGCTCTCTCTGATGATAAGGGAAACACTGAAGATGAAGTAAAACTAAAGAAAAGAAAATCCCAGGGCCTGATTTATGTATTCCGAAGAGCTGTGATTGCAGTTTTGGCAGCCAACAGACTTAAGGTTTTAGCACAGTCTTCTAGTTCCCTCTTCACCTGGACAAATGGCTTAAAAGAAGGCATTGGAATTCCAGTTTGTGTAGGAGAATCCAAAGGCAAGCGTAATCTGTCAAGTAAGCTGATTATTTTCTTCTTTGATAAATGTATCAAAAGACATGGCTTGTGAATAACATATAGTAATATTATTTATAATAGAGTGTAAATATAAATTTAATGAAATTTTAACAAATGTAATTTCTGAATTTGTAGCTTTTAGATAACTTGATAAATGTAATTTCCCCTAAAAGGAAATTACTAATTAATTAATTACTAATTAATTGCTTAGTCTGTTTAGCAATGCAAGTAGAGTTGCAACTACACACGTGAGCACCATTGTTTGATATTCTCAATATTTGCATTGTAGATTTCAGAACTAGGTGCTACTGCATCTGCTCTATGTGATAAATTTCTTGAAATGTTCCTACATTATTTGCCACCAACATTATTTTTTGAGAATGTGTATTCTCTTCTTTCATTAAAAACTTGCAGTAATTATTTCCTACTGAAAAATGTAAAAAAGTTTCTTACTGATTCAGGTAAAACATTAATGTAAGATTTCTGGATTTCCTTTAATGGAAATACATAGTCCTCTTAGTCCATTTCTATTACCAAACTATCTTATGCCTCCCCCTACAAGGAAAAGTAGTATAAAAAGTGCTTTCCAAACTAGAAGATTAATCTATTTTTCTGGTTTAGTGCCAGTGGAATCATATTAAATACAGTCTAAATTGTCCTGAAAATAGTCTGTGGCTTATGTAGTTCTAGCTTTCATCAATTTCTGAAAAAGAAAGTAGTGTGCCTCATCTAAGTTATTCAGTTATATTGGTAACTGCAATTCTATTCCATAGGTTGTGACGAGGAAGCGCTTGACTGTGTGGAAGCACTCAGCTGGTTTGCTAGTTCCAACCTCCTTGCTGCAATAATCAGTTCCGTCACTGAATTGCAGGATGTTGTTAACAAACCAGGTAATTTTAAAAGTATATTATTATAGTTGTAGATTTAAAAAATAATCAGCGTGGTTACATCATCTCCATTTTTAGGATTTATTTAAACTATTCTGGATCAAATCTCCTGAGAGCTGTATTGATGGAACATATTGAATTTTCTTTAATTGGTGAAGTGATACTTTATCCTTTTGGTATATAGAGTCATAGGAACAGAAGGATAGAGAGTGCTTTTGGAAAGCATATATACCGTTCTACCTGTTTGATTGTGAGATATTAAAAATAACCTACACCACAGAAATAGATATTTGGCTAACCTGTTTTTAAAAGCTTAGCCTGAAAAGTAGGCTAAGCTTTTAAATTAAGTAACTCTTACAAGGTTCCTAGTTATCTTCTTCATCTGGTTTAATATTAAATAAGTGTTTTCCTGGAGCTCAACCTGATATTTTTTCATAGAGAAAGTCTATGCAGTTTTGTTTTTATTTGATTTGTGTATTTCTTAAGTGCAAGGTCTAAAACTGGTGCATCTTTGACTTGGGACATTACAGCTGCTGACTGAAAGGAAATAATTTCCTACTGTGTTTTATATAGTATGAATTTAGTAGTTTCAAATCTGGAAAACAGTGAATTTCATGGATAATATATTTGTGTGTTTTACTTGCTATCTTACAGTTTTGGAGAGAGAAATAAAATGATTTCAGTTTATACAATGCATAGCAGTCCTTATTTTATGTTTCTGCAGTCTTCCCTCTCTAAGTTTGTGTTTAATTAGGTTTGTATCTAGATTTCCTAATTTTTTCAGTCTCTGCTTGTGTAGAATTTTACTATGCCTATGAAAAATTGTAGTGTCAGTCTCTGGAAATATCTCATGATTCCTAGCTGTTAACTATTTTCCTTAATTTATTTGCAGCGAGAACTGATGTAAGATTTTGCTTGGTTCTCTGCTTTGCTGCCATCCTTAGTTCTTTAGTAACTTGTAGTTTTAAAATACCAACACTTCTGTCACAGAATGAAGTACGTTTAAGGAGGGATAATTTATATGAATAAATGGAAGTAGCAGGACAGGGATAAGATGCTTCATTTCTCAGTAGCTGAAATAGCAAACCAATACCAGAAGACATTGAAACAAAAGTGTTTTGGTTCAGTTTCAGAAGCTCTCTGCTTTGGTCATCTTGTTTTCAGTAACTTAAATTTATATCCTTACAAAGCAAAGTTTTAACTGTATTTCAGAATATTTACAGGGTTTATACTGCAAGTGTTCCTGTGCGTAGAATGGGAATAGCAAATTGAAGGCGAATTAAGAGAAATGCAGCAGCAGCATGGATCTGCTGAAGCAACTGGTTAGAATACCCTAAACGTCATGATATTTTGGCAGTTTGAAGTATGTGAGAATTCTGCTGGTCTGTATTTACTAGATATCTCTGCAGTCAACACAGGCTTGATTTTGAGAATTAGGAAGAAGCATGCTGGGAATGTTACGGCCACAGTCAGTTTGGTGATTCTTTCATATCTTATCTCTATTTAAGTGATTTCCACAGAAACTCAAGGTCTAACTGCTCATGTATTACTTGGAATTCTATTGATCGTGAAATCAAGTCTCCTAAGAATCTTTGGTTCCAAAAATAGTAATAAATAATTTAAAGTTAGATATTAAATTTCTGGAAGTGTTAAAGTAATTAGGCTGTGAAGGAATATATTTGAAACTTTCCAAACTTAGAAAATTACATTATGTTCTATAAGTAATATTTTAAGTAGGACTTAAATCTTCAAACTGACTTCACTTATGTTGGATTTCTTAAAAAATTGTAAATAGGCAATCCTTTCATATCTTTAAATAATGGCAGTTCCAGATTAGACTGTACATCACAGGAGAAAGTGCTACAAGAAGGTGCTGTCTGGATCATCAAGATGGAATGATTCATTGTCTTAGAAATTATGTTTAAAAATGGCTAGATTGGAACCATTTGAGGCAGCTGAAAAAATTAAATCCAAACAAACTCAGATGACACTGGAACATTTGGATCTGTATGCTCTGATTTGAGGGACCTTTTTCGATCTTTTAAATAAGTGGTTTTGTTTTGACATTGATGATCGTTTCCCTACATATTGTTAGTTTGGGTCTCATTCCAGCATGTCTTGGAATGATCTCTTTTCTTCAGTTTCAATGCAAGTTCATTGCAGTGTTGGAGTTTTTTAGTTTGTTTTGGGTTTTTCTGTAAGGTTAGATTTTAGATTTATTTGAACAAAATCTGTACTATCATAAACCAGAGACAGTAAAAGCCAATGTTTTCCATACAAATTTCACAAATTGTTAAGTATACAAAGCTTTAAAAGTTTGACATGAACATTTTAGTCTTGCATAGTACGAAGTTAATCCTGCTGAGTGGGTTCAATTTCACCAAAACAGAATAAACAAGAATTGTTTTTTCATCTTTCAGTGAAATATTGTTTGACACTTTTTTTTTACATTTGCTTAATGTAAGACTTAATTGTTCTTTGTCGTAAATCTGTATTTGTATTAACAATTTCTTAGACACATAAACTACGTAATTTATTACATAATTTAATTTTTATTGTAATTCTTTCATCCTTCATGGCAGATACTTAAGATATATACTTAAACAGTCTATTCTCCTCAGTTATTATGGATACAGTTCCTTGTGGAACTGATTTATGTTTTCATTTAATATTTCAAAGCAATCAGTAACTTCAAAATATTTCTGTCTATTTAGTTCATAAAAATAATGGAGGGCATGACTATTTATCGATATCCCAAGAAAATGCCTTAAGTTGTGGATGTTGAACTATACTGGTTAAGAGGAGTGTTTGCTGGGAAGTGGAATGATCATTTGAAAATGCTACAACATATTTGTCTGAATTATTATTTTAAATTTACTTTTGATACAGTTAAACATGAGATTCTAGGTGTAGGGAAAGGGGCTACCATGCTAGGTACTGTACATATGGAGAAACCATATGTGCTTCTGTCAGGCAAGCAATTTCATAACCTGAGACAGCAAGTAGAAATACTGGGAAAAGTGAAGGAACAGTAGCTCACTGAGCTTCTTTATTCTATATATAACAAATATCATGGCAAAGGACAGTTTTTGAGAAGGTTTTGGCGTCATCTTACATGGAAGGCCATAAAAATGTTCTAGTTTTAATTTTAGGTTAATTTAAGTAATTGTTCAACTAGTGAATGCATTCTGACTGGAGAATTGAAATAGCAGTTTTTTCTGGGTATGAAAAGAATATATTTTTTTTATTGCAAAGGATGTTTAGTAATTTGAAGTGCAAGATAAAAATGCCTCGTAAGATTTTTAACTTAAAAGGTGCTATCTTAGTCATGAAGAAAAGACAAATCTACTAGAAACTGAGGTTATGGAGAGTGTGTACTCAAAAATGATACTCCACTTAAGCTCTGGAATCACTGGAGTGGTGCTATTTCAAAACCAAGCAGGCAAATGGCTTTGAAAATAAAATATTTGATTTTTTCATGTGCTTTTTTTTGTTATTGTTTACAGATAAATCTCAACCTCACATATAAATTACTTCTTTACAATGAGAATTGTAATAAAAATATATCAATAATCATGTTCTGTTTGCTTTGTATCTTTGGCTTTTTCCTTCACAGTCTATAAACAGAAATTCTTTAACTGAAGCCAGGGTTATTTTTTTTCTGTTTATACTCTTAAGTAAATATTTTAGTTCACTGCAGCAACAGGAGATCTGCTGTACTACTGAATGTAAATAAGCTCTTCTATGCTTGTCATCTTGCACTGATAGTATCATAAGACAAGTAATGACAGATTAAGACCTGCCTAGCAGAGGGAAAACTAAATTACAAGACTTTTATTAAGGCATAAATAAACCTATTAACTGTTATCTGGAATACCAATTAGTGGAAGGAGCACTGACAATTTTATTTATCAACATTAAACACAATTATTAATTACAGACCTGACGAATCTAGCAGTAAGCAGGACATGTTGGGTGTGCTGGGGCCTTAAGTCCATTATATGAGAAGGATGATTACCAAAATCCTGTGGGAAAATACGTAATTGTAGCTGTAAAATTTTAATTGCCTTGGAATAAGGTAAATTATATTCTCTTGTCTCAGAATATAAATAGTATGGCATTAAGGTACCAAGCCTCACTAATTTTGAACACAAATGATTTAGACATCTGTAGAGGGGAGGGAGGCAAAATAGGAAACCCTCAGAAATTTGCATTGTAAATATTACAGAAAGTGTTCTACCATGTGCTATCACTTCTGACTTACTTGATCTGACTTCCATTTGCTTGCATCTGTCTTGCATGTTTTCTGAATTACAAAATTAGAACACTAAAGAAAGCCTTAAAAAGTATGGTATTGGAGAACATGATAACAACTGGACAAGTAGTCTGTGACAAATCCTATTCTTTAGAATCTTATTCTACCCTCCCATTCGTAAATTGATAGGAGTAGAATTTTCATAGCTAAATACACAATTTATCTTGAAGTCTCTCTCTGAGATATTCCTTTGAACTCAATCTTCCCGTCCTTAATGGAAAATTTCTATTGTGTATCATAGAGATGTTGTTTGTTGTGTTTTCTTTCGCTGAAAGAAACTGGAGCTAAAAACGTACTTGATGTTTCTTTTCTTTGTTTTGGTTTGGTTTTGTTGTTTTAGGGTGTTTTTTGTTTGACTGTTTGGGGGTTTTGTTTGTCTTTGTGTTTTGGTTTTTTTTTAAAGGTACAAAGTCCTGGGTTTCTGGAAAGTTACTTGTAAATGCAGCCAGGAATTCGTTTTCAAAACTTATGGACAAGCTGAATGTTATAATGGAGACGGTTCCATTAGACCACAGCAAGTACATTACTTATCTGGAGAAAGACTCCTTGGTACAGAGCCTGGCTCATGGACTTAATAAAATAAATACCCAGGCCATGGAAGCTGGATTGTGTGACAGAGTATCCAGTATGGTATGCATAATTACAGTCCTAATTCATGTAAGCAGTAGGTTCATGGCCTAAGTGTTAGGATGAAGCTCTCTTGATAGTACCATTAATTTTGTTTCAGTTTATGAGACTGTTACATTGAAGTCAACCATGTAGACATCAGATTCCCAACACCCAGAAGCATTAGAGCATGAATATATTTTTTTCTTTTATGTCAAAGAATTTTAAGAAGAGATTTGATGTATCCAAGGAAAAGGGTCTTTAAGGTTCTTTCAAAGTAGTATTGCTTTGTAGGAACTAATTGCTTTTGGCTTCAAGTAAATGTTATGGAGTTGTCTTTCTGTTGTGTTTTTTTGGGGGGCTTTTTTCTTCTGTTTTCTAATGCTTTGTGTTCCGTCTTTCAGTAAAGATCGCCTTCTTCCCTATAATCAGAGGGAATGGAGAAAGCTACTGAAATAACTGGTCTTTTATTGTGGGCCTTACATTAAAATAGCGCTTCCTTGAAAACAAAATTTTCAGTTACCCTCAAGAGTATGAAGGTGATACAGGTTCACTTTTTTGCACTCTTGTGCATCTTAGAGATGGTGGACAAAATGAGAGCTTTGTTTAATTTGCTTGGGTACTACATGTGACTCTTTTATTGATAAAATAGCTCATGTTAAAGCACATAAATTTGTTTCTGCTTGTTAACAGAAAAACTTTGAATCCTTGCAAAAGCGAATATTTGAATTTACACAAAGACTTCATACAGCAGAAGTAGAACGTCGCTCACTGCGCCTACAACTTGCAGAATTCAAATTGAATTTCAGTGAAATAAAAAAAGAAGCAGACAAAGCAGAGAGGCTGCAAGAACAATTAAATATGCTTAAGCAAGTAAGTATATTTGATTTAGAGGTGACTGTTTATAAGACATATTTTTGTGTGTTCTTTTGAAAAATAAGTATAAAATCATTCTAATATTAAAATAATTTTTCCAGAAGGTTTGCGTTGTAAGTGTCACTCAACTAGAAGTTAGAATTGTTTAGAAAGCTTTCCCTTCCCTGAGAGTTTCTTTTTGATTTGTAGAATGAGGTGCTCTTGTAAATTATTTGTTTCGTCTTCAGCAACCAGGTTTTCTTCTATATGTTGAAAATGTTGATGTGATTTATATACCCAAAAAGCATTTATAGATCTCACTTCAGCAGATTAAAGTCAGCTGCCATGAGGGTATTTAATAAGTGTGTTCATGAGAACTTCAAGAAGTATAAACTCTGTGTGGATATTGCTGAATATTATGATAGACATCTACTGTATCTTTGATGTTGTGTTATGCCCTGAGCTAGTCAATGCAAATTTTAGTGTGGCTGTTCCTCTGAAGGACTAAGTTTATGGAAGGGGGAGAAAGGCCCTCTTCTACATTCCGGCTAGCATATGTGTACCAATTCCTGTTACTCCTAGCTGTCACTAACTGATTTACTTACACACTATGCATTCGCTAGCTTGTAAATAGCATTGTCCGACATAAACAAGAAGACACAACAAAAAGGTTCCTTAACTGCTTGAAACCACAGTATTGTGACTAATGGACATGGTGATGGAGGGATGATGCTATTTGGTGGGTTCCCAGTTAGAACCCTGTCACATGTACGGAACCGTGCCAGCAGCACTTGGAGAAACTTGTCTTGCTTTAGCATGCTGGAGGTTCACTAAGCACCTTTCCTACTATGCTTATTTCTTGTAGGTTGCATTCAGAATTGAACATATATTTGAACTATTTGAGATAGTGAGTGGTTAAGAATTCTTATATGTGCTCAACAGGCACACTGTACAACTAAAACAGCTGTGGCCCAGAAAAAGCAGTGTTTTCTGTAGCTGTGACTTGATCCTGAAGCCTAGTTGGTAGACTTGTCAGCATGTCCTAATCAAGACACTTCCAAGCAGAGAATATTTAACAGATAGTGTCAAATCTATTCTTTTTCCTGTTTCTAGCTGGTAAAACATTGGGGTCTTTAACTCAGACCAAATTGTATCTGCTTATCTTTAGTTTTCCTCATACTCCTCACAGTACTGCTCATACTGCTCATTATTGCTTACAGTTCTGGGAAAATTGGAAGAAATTATCACAGTTTAGATTGCCATTCAAATGTTGAGAATGATTTTCCTTGAATAACTATTTTACCTTTCTGGAACACTTTTTGAAAGGAAGAAAGTGTTCAGGAAGACCTTTACAAGGATTAACAAGATATGCACGAAAATGTGGGAAATTGATCTGCACATTTACTTCTAAATACTGGTTCTTAGCAATCTAGGGTGTTAATTTGAATACAATAGAAATGCATACTGTTTACTGTAGCCTGAATGCTGTTTTGAAAAAATACAGTGAATAAAGTTGTCTGACCATGTTATTGCTTGGTGGTCTGTCTTTGAGTTAAAAAACCTAAATAAATAATAACCTTTAGCATGCTTTTGTCTTAGAATTTAATATACTCCCAAGTGGAACTTGGGAACAAGTGGAACTTGGGAAGTCAAGTACATAAACAGGTAAGTATAGTTACATAATAAAACACAATTTATTTCTCTTATCAGAAATTAATCACCAATGAGAGGTTTGAAAGTGTATGTGAAGAATTAAGTAATGCATTACATCGGGAGCATCAGGCACAATTGCTTTTGAATGAACAAGCACAACAGCTACAGGAGTTAAATAATAAACTAGAATGGCAATCCAGTGAAGAAGCAGATAAAACCCAAGTCTTAAGTGAATCTGTAAAGGTAAGATGATTATTGCTCTTAATTAGGCACCTGAAATTTATTTTTTGGTGAATAAGTCAAATGTCATAGTTCTTGTGAAAATAAAATGTAAATGCACACATACTACATACCCATTGAAATTTTAGGGTTCTCAGAAACACTTTCAAGATTCTTCAAGGTATAACATCACTTTTCTGCTCTTGAAACTGGGTGGTGTACAGTAGTAATACATGTGAAGTGTCTGAAATTTGTAGGGGACGTAAGTGACAGATCTAACTGTCACAAGGTGTTTGCAATTTATAGAAAAATAAATGAAAAAGTAAAGGGATACTTTGATTTTTGATAGAGGTCACAATATTTTAAAACCTGGATTATCTTTTTCATGAATGTAATCTTAGGATGGATAATATGTTTGTCAGTTTGGAATATGCAAGGTGACAATAGAGAGAAATCCTTTTTTCATCAGAATTTAGAATTTTCTGTAGACGTAATGAGGGAAAAGATGATGTTATCAGAATCTCTGATGACGAACAAAGGAACAGAGGGAGTATTACAGGTTTGAAACCAGGTGAATATCTAACATGGGCAGAGAGAAAACTTCATGATGGCTAGTCAGTAATGGGTGGTGACCTGAGCTTGGCAGCTTTTATTTATTTTCTATATAAAGCAAGCTTTGCTGCTTGTGTCTGCTTTTCAGCCCTACTACTGTCTTTCCACCTCGCAGTATTCTTCTGTGAATTGACAACTGAGCAAAGGGACTGCTTCACCAGCATTTTGACAAATAGAAGCACTTATAAGTCTGAGAGAAGAAGTGTCAAGCAGGAGGAGAACCAAAATGATTCCAGCTGCAAAAGTATTAGAAATTTCATAAATATTGAAAATATTACTATGAAAGTAGATGTCAAAGAGGATGAGTTGCAGCAAAGTAGATGTGATGTATAGTGGAGGATGCTGAATGATGTTGTGAAATTTATTGAGGAGGCTTTTCACTGTTGGTATTATTTACTAAAAATGCCTTACCTCACTAAAGGTAAAAGACAGTGGCATTTCCAATTTACCTGTTAGGTTTTGTGTGGTTTTTTTTTCTCCCTCACAATTCCCTAGTTTTGGGTGTTAATTGAAATGGAAGAATAAATGTGCTACTGTTTTTCAGTCAGGTTGCTTGTTAATACTATTGTATTTTCTTTCAGCTATAACTGCAGTGTATATATAAGCTGTTATTCTTGTGTTTGATTTCTTTGAGAAATGCTTGATTTGAGATTTTTAAATGGCTATTAGGAATATAAAGAAGGGAAGGACTAGAAGACAAATCCTATTTCAAATCTTAATTTTTGTCTACTTTTTGTACATTAATACATGTTTTTTCACCATGTTTTACTTTTTCTAAAACACGCCTTTTCATTTGTTCAGAGACTGTGAAGAGAAAGGTCAATTGTAGGCAATTAAAATATAGGAGAAACTTTTAAACAGATCTCTTACATAGATTATTGGATACTGAATTATATTTCACAGCTTCTGGTTTTTGTTAATTGAAGGCTATATACAAGTTTTTTTGAGACAGTCATGATCCTAAAATGCATCCTAATTTTGCAGTTCTTTAACAGTTGTTTGCTACTGGAACGTTTTCCTTTAATGTAAAATGCTTGGTTATTGCTGAAATCTTTCAAGGTATCATGCAATGTAATAGGTGATAGGTGATAAAATAGGTGATAGGGTGGAGACAAAGAACATTGACAAAATAAACCTTAAGATCTGAAGTTTACTACTTACAGGTACACTGATTTGGTTTATTACTTTGTAAGTCGCAATCCTTCCCATTGAGGAGTTTTAAACCAATTTTAAGTTGTAGGCTTGTTGCTGTGTACTGTCCCTCAACTTAGGTTAATTGGTATCTCATTATTTCTTTATTATATTTACTACAAAAGATAGTACAAAATTGCATTTTGGTTGTAACAGCATGTATCTGTGACAGTATCAAAAAAGGAGACAAGAACAATTGTGGTAACATCAAAACATGTTAAAGATCTTGTGGTCCTTGATTTTTTTTTTTAGTCATGTAGATACAATTTTGCAATGTATGCATCCTAAGTCATCATTTTACCTTCACTTTTTATAATTGTTTTTACAATTCCAAACGTGTGTTGTATAAGTATTTTTGAAATTCAAATGGCAGTCTAATATAATACTTTGATCCCAAGGAATAAAAGTAATTCTTAAATTTTGAGCCCCATATCTTTTGGTTTTTAAAATTTAAGAAAAACTCTCTTTTTCCCACAGTTAACTACCATCCAACCTTTTTCCTGCCTTTATTCACAACAGGAAGAAATGGTCTCTGCCCTGGCATCTTAATTGACAGATCCTTTTCTTTAGCTTAATTAGGTTTTTTGACTTAAAATGTTAGGGTTTTTTTGTGGGGCTTTTTGTAGCTTTCATTTTTCAGTACAGTTAAACAACATAGTCTTTGTAATAACCAATCTTGCCCTTGTAAAACTGTTTAAAATTGCATATGGTTTCAAGCACTTAAATAATACTGAAAAAAAAAATATTTTTTAGTGTTGCAGTGTAAAAAACAAAATAGAAAAATATGTCTCCATCTTCATTTTAAGATACAAAATGGTATTACTTGTATAGACTAAAGTGTATATAAAAATTTGGTCAGTCTGATGGCATACAAGTAAGGTCTGTTAGAGTAGAGTGACATGGAGTGAAAAAAAATAGACATGCTTTGAATTCTTTATTAATAATTTTTTAAAAGTAAGAAGAAGAAAATAAAAATATTAGATACCTTCACTTTTGATAGCTTATTTTTAAACTTATTCACAGCAATCAGTAAGGAGATATTTTGGTATTCATGTACTTTCATAAAGTAGGCTTATTAAAGGAGTAATACTTAATTTCTTAGTTTTATCAGTTCAGATTTTAATCCTGTATATTTTTATCTTCTTAGTGGCATATACCATAGAGACATCCAAAATAGCCAATTACATTCAAGGTCAGCTGGAACTAAGCAACTCTTTAACACCACTTCTTTTTATTAGATGAGGTGAATCATTTGCTCTGGTTCCTTATTATTTGAAGAGAAACTTTTACACAAATGCTAAACAGGTATCAACTCCTGATACCAGCTGTTCTTAATCAAGTAAAGTATTTTTGTTTCCTATTGATATGCACAGTCTATATATTTACTTCCTTTTAGCTATGTTAGTGCCCGTATATTTTTAAGGTTCTATTTATGGATCAAATTCTATAAATTGTTAATTAATACCTCCAGTGCAGTAGATACCAAATCATATTGCTTGATACTGATATGCCTCAACATAAATACTTGTTTTAGAAGAAGGTACCCTAAATTTTGGGTTTGCTTAAACTGCTGAGTTTAGTGAAGCTGCAATTAATTTATGACAGAATAAATGAGGAAAAAAATCTCATCCAATTGCTTTGATAACACTCACAAAAAGATGTTTTCTGGTGGGAAGATCTGAAGTGTTTGTTTTCAATACCTATGTCATTCAAATTGTACATACATATTCTCTGTCCAGAGTATCCTTTACTAAACAGGTATAACTAAATTAATTTGATTCAATGAAGATTGGGATTTCTCTGTTTGTTAAAATGGATTGTTTGTTAAAATGGTTTCCCTCAGCAGGTGTTTTCAGCTCAGTTCTTCGTTGATTTTGAGGTAAAGGTGATACACAATTTTCTGCTTTTCATTGCTTTTCCTCTTCATATATTTATAGCCACATATTTTCTCTGAAAGAGCATTTCAAATATTTACACAATTTCTTTTACTAATACCACTAGACATACTTATTGAGTGAGTTTTACAGATTTTTCTGAAAATGCTGCAGTATTCTAACTTGGAGAAAGGTTAAAATCTTCACTTACATGAGGAAAACCAAGTGATTTTCATGCTTCTCAGAAAGATTGCAGTAACAGTAAGAACAGAAATAGGATTTGAGATTTTATTTTCCTCTGACATCTCAAGTTGGAAAGATTGCTAGAATGTGGATGCACTGAGGGATACTGTTGATTCTAAAAACTTGTTTGTGTCTTTGTCAAGAAACTGCATTTCTGTGCATTGCCTGATTAAATGTAAGGCTGTTCCTTAAAGAAAGCAGTATAGTTGATTACTGCTAGCATCTAACTCAACAGAAATGTATACTAGTGAAATTTAGCATGTTAAAGAGAAGCAAGCTCCCTCCTGAATTTTAATTAGAAACTAAAATTCATAATTCATTAATTAAATATGGAAGGTTGTTAGGTTTTGGGTTTTTTTAGTTTCCGTACTGTTTATGTTCTGAACACCTAAATAACTTATAAGATAGATAAGAATGGATTAGTATTGTCATCTGCTCTGTTCTTAGTTGAAAGAGGTAATGTGTATTCTTCGTACAATAAATAGCAGGTTAAAGAGTTTTGTCAGGTACTTCAATTTGTGTTAATGCTATTTGTAAAATAAGTAGAAGTGTTCATTCTGCTCTCTTACATAACGTCCACTACTGCTAACTTCTTAGTCTTCAAAGACTTAGGTTAACTAGAAACTTGTCATCAAACTAGTTAGTTTTTTGTGCTTTTTTGTTTATAAAATTCCAGTGCATTGCATGTGGAATTTAGGTTTATGGAAAGAGATAGTCTTTCTTTTAGTAGCTGCTGTCTTTTCATAATAGGAAGACACAAAGATAGCACACAATTGTGGGCTAGACCTGAGAGCTCTTTTTCGCAATAGGAGACAGAACACAGCTTAGATAAAGTCTGCACTCTATTATTATTAGCGAGTCTGTATTTCAGAACTCTGAACTTCACTTTACATTTCATGCTTCTGTGGTTTATCCAGGGATTTAGATTCATTGAATCATAGGAAGTACTTAGTTGGAAAAGATTTACAATGATGATCAACATCCAGCTCCTGGCCCTGCACAGAGCCGTCTCTGAGTCACACCGTGTGCCTGAGAGCATTGTCCAAATGCTTCTTGAACTCTGTCAGGCTAGTTCTGTGACCACTAGCCTGGGGAACTCTTCCATGCCCAACAAACCTCTGAGTGAAGAACTTGCTCTTAGACAGGTTTTTAAATCTATTTCCTTTGTTGTGTACCTAGAACATTTATCAGTATTAGCATTAGTCTGGAGGGACTGAAGTCAGTACATGTCTTTTAGATTTGTTTTGTGCTGTAGTCATCAATGAAGCAGCCAAACAATTATCAACTAAGTTGTTGAAGGTCTGCATTAACTTTTCTGAGTCAAACTTTCTGGAAAATATGTAAGTTATTCTCAGAATGGGAGGAAGAATAAAGTTAAAGTTTGTGATTTTGAATTCATTGTATGTTTGCATTAACATGAAGGTCAATGCAACAATGCAAAATATTGTAGTATAAGTTACACAACCATAATTCAATTGGAAGCTCTTATTTTGAAAGGATATCATCATTTCTGTTGTGTTTCTGTTTCATTTCTCTGCATTTCCTCTTTTGTCCAATTTTACAAGTTGAATGTCAGCAATAATTAATTTTTGAGCAATGTGAAGGTTTTGTATTGGAATTTGAACACGTATTTACCCCAGGTGAACAACTTTTTTTCCTATATTATGCCGCTGTGCAGTACTTTATTGGTTGGTATTAAGAATATTATTTACTACCTTTACATAGCAAGAAAATGATAAAATTGTATCCAATGCTACTTTACATTGCAAGAAGAATAATTGGCCATTTATTACATTTATGTTCAATCTAATCAGATGTAAATATTATTTATTGGATAAACAAGAAAAAGCATCCCTAAGTAAGAAAAATTAATATCTTATTTTTAACTTGCTGAAGAGTTTAAGATAACTCTGAGAAAACACTCTCACCATTACATCAATTTGTATGTAACTTAGACACTGAAACAGAACACTGGAATGTCATGATTATGTAACATCACTTTAGTTAATCTTTGAAAGCTAATTATGACAACAAGTTAAATTCCAGGTAAGAATAGGTTTACCCTTCTCCAGAAAATTATGGAATAAGTTTGTTCATGCTAATCTGATTCAATAGCCTCATTTGACAGTCACTTTATGAGTCATGCACTCACATGAGACCTTGGGATTTTTGGTCCAATGTATGACTGACTGACACAGAGTGAAATCCAGAGTGCCTTGGTGTTAACAGTGTAGTAACATTGCCCATTTCAGAGAATACTTTTGCTGAGTCTGTTTGCTACACTATAGTATTAAAAAAAAGATAAATCTGACATTCTGTCAAAGTTTAGATAAAGAGAAAAAGTAACTTAAACAAAGTAATTGCATGAACCAGTACATTTTTAGTCTTTTAAAAGTAGCCTTCAGTATTTTCTGAGTATTCCATTTGTAGGAACTATTTGTCTCCCCCTTGGGGAAAGGAGAGAATAAATGGAACAATATCAGGATCTAAAAGCTTAATGGTTTTATTTCTGCATTGTAATTATACTAATAAATACCTCTATCCATGACCCTGGAATTTATAGTGCAGTGAGAAAGATTTATTGACAAGATTTATTTGGAAGAAAAATGAGATTATTGTGTAATTACAGCATGTGGTTATTAAGCATATGTACATACCATTTATTCCTGTTATTTCAAGACCTTCAACTATCTTTCAGTTTTCACTCAAAAATACTGAAAGGCTTCCTGGTCTTCTTCTGGGAGATCTTTGTTATATTATTGGATCAACTACAAAGTAACTGTGTTACCCTGAGATGTGTAGAGGGGATCAATAGATCATTAAAACAGCATGAGATTTTTTAAAGAAGGTGTTCTATACCCTATTTTTCCTGGTAGTATAGATATCAATGTGTAGGACTTTCTATGATGCAGGTTCTGTGTCTCCTTGATATAGAATTCCTTTATAGGTAGATTTGCTTTTTGTTGCTGTTTATCTAGGATGTCTCCAGGGCCTCATAATTTTTTACCTGAGTCATGTTTTCCCATGTTCTCCCTTTCTCTTTGTGTGCAACTAATTCTGCAAATATCTTTATATCTTCTTGTCGAACCATAAGTAAAATATTTCAAATAGCTATTGAAATATAATTAAACTGTTGGAATATAATTATGTATCTAACTGTCATAAGACTAAAACAAGAGATGCATTCCTTTGCACCTGTATTCCCTTGGCTGCATGCTATGACAGCAGCTGGGCCTATCTTTCATATAATTTGATCTTTTAATTTAATTTGATACTCCATTAGGTATTCAGTGATTTTCAAGGGGAAGGTTTTTCAAAATTTATACCAGTTTCAGCTTCCAGAATCTGTACCTATGCTGTCTATTAGAGCATGGAAACTCTTCAAAATTATAGCAGGGCAACAAACTCAAAACAAAAATTATATTTTATGCTGCCTAATTTTTGTGTTGTCTTTTACAATATATATTTATGAAAAATCCAGTGAGGTTCTTGTTGCTAGATAATTTTACTTTTCCGTTAAAAAGACTTTAAAATGTTTCCAAATCTTTCTAGTTAAAGTAAAATCACCTTAAGTGTTGTTGTATTTTGGGGGTTTTGTTTGTTAATATTTTGTTTTGGTTTTTTTTGTCTGTTTACTTTTCAATAAGAAATTGAGTGATTTTAGAATTAGGACATTAAAATTCTCAATTCTAAGTAGCAGTCCAAATATTTCTTTTATAAATACTACACTGTTTACAGGAAAATTTCTCAGGTGTGAGAAAGAAGAAATAAGTGTTCTTAGAAAAAGTTAATAATAATTTACTAAAATAATTGGTTGTGTGGTATCACCTAGTGATAGGCATATTCCTGTCATTTACATTGGTGAGTGAAGTAGGTAACTTTCCAAGTTTTGTACCACTATGGTGCCATTTTGTCTTATAGTTAAGAAATATACCAAAAGAGAAAAATAATAATTTAGTTTTCACTGAATTCACTGTCACTGTTTAACTTCCCTGTTTCAGGATCTGTATTTGCTATGCTCAGGGAAACTTATACCTTGTATTAAGCTTTGTGTCCTTGTTTGGCACTTGGTATGACTCAAAGCATATCCAGAAGGAAGTGAGACATCTAATCAATATGTCTTTATAGCACTTTGATCTCCTTACTGAATATTTGGATGTAATATATCTTTGATGCTTTTTCAATAGAATGATTTAAAAGTTGCCTTTTATGTAAGTTAAATTTTGTTTTACTGTATCTGTTTTTTCTGCTAAGGTGCCCACTCTCCAGTTTTTTAATGAGAGGAAGGATAAGGGTGACCTATATTGAAGAATAGACCTTTTAATATAAAATTACATATTTATAAATTCTTTCTTATTTTATTGAGGTTTAAAAAGTAAAAGGGATAATCAAGCATGCATGTTTTCTCCCTGCAGGTACGTCAGGCACAATGTGGCTGTCCTGATATTCAAATAAAACATTAATGCACTTAATAAATTTGGGGCTCTATGGAAACACACATACCTTGCACGTAAGATTTAGTCAGAACTCTTCTGAAGGGGAATACTTGAATGTAAATCATATAAAGTGATAAATCTTTTGAAGCCCATATTAATGTTAGTGTGTCATGGTTTGACGCTGGCACAATGCCAGCGCCCCATGAAAATACAACTTACCAATCAAATGCTGTGAAATGTGATCAAGAACAGAGCAAAGCAGGCCAAACTTAATAACAAAGGAAAAAGCTTTATTACACTACTACTACTACTACTATAAAAGGAAAAGAAAGGAAAGAATAAAAACACACAAAATTCGAAATGAAAACCTTCCAAAACATTTCTCCTCCCTCCACCCAACTCCACCAAACCCCAGCGAGACCCATTTGGATCCTTAATCAAGTTTTCACCCTTCAATATAATCAATACTGAGTCCATCGGGGAAGAGAGGAGTCCCCCTTGCACCACAGACCTCCAGGAAACAGCTGCCACCTCTTGTGTTTCCAATGTCACTCGTGGCACTGCCCAGACACACCGGCCAGTGTGACACTCTCCTCTCCATGTCACAGTGCTCTCACCACCGGGCATGGACAGAGACTGCTTATAGGGCCCCTTTAAGGATGCTTTGCCAAGGACCACCAGGAACAACAGTCCAGTATCACAATTCGGGACTAGAGTCCCCCCCATTTTCCCCTGGGGCCGAGGGTCCAAAAGACAGAGATCGCCTTCTCTTCTTCCTGAAGATGGAGGGCATCCTCACACCCTCCTCAGCTCTCTCTCTGTCCACTCCAAAACTGGTAGTTGCTGCAGAAGGTCTCTTGGCTCACCAATGCATCCCCCTAAAATGCAGTCCCTCTTGAAAGAAAGAGTGGTTCAGTCTATGGTAAACAAGCAGAGTCCAGCCAAAAGCCACTCTATCATCTGCCCCCACCTTCTTCTCTGAACATCTGAGGTTTCAAGCTGTCTCTCTTTTCTTCAAATTCAGGAGGAGTAATATTTCATAAAGCCTTCATTTCTCAGGAAGGGTTAAAAGTCCCAACTCCCAAGGATGGCTCGCTGCCCAGGCTCCAGCTCCCACAGCCCGGCTGGGCACCTTGCGGCCCCCCCGCTCTTCTCCTTCCCTGCGGCGAACTGCCGATAAAACCACCGCCATCTCTTTTTTCTCTCTTGGGAGAGAGAGAGACTCTGGGGAGAGCGGAGACATCCCAGATTTCTCCACCCTTCCATCTGCAGGAGCTGACCCAGCCGGTTCCGATCCTTCACCCCCTGGCCTACCTGTGCAGGCCGCATGGCTCCCCTCCCCCACCCAGCCCGGGCTGGGCAGGGGAGAGGTCCGTACCATGCGATCACCGGAACCAAAGAAGGACGAGTCCTCCTGGGAATTCCGCTTTTAACCCCTCTGTGTTCTCAGAGGTGTGTCCACCTTCAATTGGTCACCCCAAGTGTCAGTATCTAAACCTGACCCCTGACTGGATGAACCTCTTCCTTCTAAAAAAAAAATTCTCTTCCCGTGTCAAACCATGACACTGTGCCATGCTAAAAAAAGAGATTTGTCTAATTTATTAATTAAAGAAAATCAAAAACTCTTTATGAAGCAAGAGCAAACCTTTGTGTGTCACTAATTGACATTCTTGCCATTGGCCCTAACTCTTCAATGTGATGGCTCACATTAATGCACTCGTGTCTGGTGGAATTGTGCAGCAGCCTCTTCAAAGAAAGGGCTGCAGCATAACCTGCAGCAGTAAAAAAACTTAGCTGGGGCCACCAGTATATTGAGGTTATGGACAGTATATTTTTGCATTTAGAACTGAACCTTAAACTGAACCTTTCTTTGAAACTGTTCTGAAAACTCCTAGTATTTCCATTTTTTTAACCAGTGTTTGAAGAGAAGGAGACAGGGTACGTTTCTCAAATGTAGTTCTGAAGCAGAATGCTGTGTCATTTAGCCTGACCCAGATGACTTTTTGTCTGTGTCATGAAGCCCCCTAACTTCAGATTGTATTCCTTTCTAAATAAACAATGGGAATTAAATTGTGGGTTTTTTTGCTTTATTTATTTGTAAATAAATTGTTGTAATTGTTAATATTTTATTGCTGTTATTTCTTCTTCTTCCTGAATTGGTTTAACTGACTGTTAGCATTCAGAAATATTCTAAGCAAATTTCTGATACAAATCTAATGGAAGAGTATTTCTCAAGAACTTAAAATAGTCTCTTCCAGGGCTTAGAAATGTCACTGGTAATGCAAGATCATTGAGACCAGTAGGACATGATCAGAGACGGATGGTTTGAGGGTGTGACAGATGAGAGAGGCTACAAATGAAATGCAAGAAATTGGTGCAATACATTGAGTCCTCATAGATACACAACTAAATATTTTGATGTATGTACATATGATAGATTATCACTTTTAAAGTGAAGATGAAATCTAAGTGCTGGTTGTGTTTTTGCCTTGCATAGTGTGTGCTAATGTGCACAAGTAGATAATGTGTAGCAAAATCAACAGTATTGCAGAGCAATATCAGAGCAGTGCTACAGAGCAGCATCAGTTTGCTTCTACTATTAATGCCTCATTTACAGGTACACGGCAGTTACGAAGTGTCATCTTTTTCAATGTAATCCAGGTGTAAACCATCTTTTTGAAACCTTGGAACTGTACCAACTAACTATAAGGCTGAGAGTCTACCAGGTCAAAAATGTAACAGTGAAAAACCCCAAGATTATTCCTTTTTGGTGGCACTTAAGTATCTGATTTAAAGGCATGACACTGCCAAAGCACAGAAAATCTGCTACGTATGCAGGGCTGTGAGTGCAAAGAGCTAAATGTGGTGGGAGAGAAATTTACATTTCTAAGGAGAAAAAAGAAACATCAGTCCTGAGGTAGTGTGTCAGAAATTGAATAAGGATTTAATGATCATGTACTCATGCTGTCATGCATGTGATTCCAAAAATTTATTCTCACTTAACTTCAAGGATTATTCTTAAAATTCATAGTGATAAAGCCTGAGTTTTTATAAAATTGTATTTGTTCTATTAAGTAGTATAATCCCTCTCTGCAGCTTTCCAGTAATACTAACATAATTCACTTAGCTTAGAAGATGATTAAAAATTCTAAATTATAATGTGCATAGATTTTGTCGTGTACTTTATCATTTTTCAAAGCACAGTTTAAAGGTAGGTCTCAATTATTCTCTGTTTGGATTAGTGTATGCCTGAAAGGCCCAGTGTCTTTTCATTTTCAAAAGGGTCTCTATCAAGAGTCCATAAGGATCTAGGCTATGTGTGGCCAGTTTATGTTTTGTAATTACTTCACTTTTAAAGTTTTGTTTAGTTTTACTTTGAACTTGAAGGAGCATATGATGTGTCCTCTGAAGGAGATTTAGTTGTGTGAAATTATTCAGAAAAAGCTACTCTGTTTAAATTACTAAACTCTTTTAATTCACAATAACTTTAAAACATATACAATTAAATTACTTCACAAAGCATTTTCAGTCATAGTTTGCTAAATATCTTGAGCTAATGCAATTGAAAAATAGGTTGCTTTCTTGATGATCAGAACAGATTTTCTATTGAGAAATGTTTGCACTATAGCAAAGAGATATGAAACGTAGGTGTAAGTCTTTGAGGCACTTTAATCCAGCCTGAATCACTGCACGTGAGATGTTTGAGGTACCTAAATTTGCTTGGCTGTCTAAAGGCTATGTTTCTGTCAATAAATGAGCTGCTGTCTACAACTACATAGGTAATGAATGTAATTTGTTTTCATTACATGAGTGCTTCAAATTTCAAGTGAATTTTGTAAGAAAAATCTCTTGCAAAATGTTAATGTGTGCATTTTCCCTTCCCCATCTATTGAATAACTCTCAAATAAAATTTCATTTAAATGTTTCTTAATACTCGGGTTCTAGATTTTGTACAGTGTCACAACTGTTTTTAGAGCTGCATGTACTGTCATGTAACTTATAATCATCTTTAGTTGTTTGCTTGACATTTTTGTCTGCTTTTGTCTGGTACTCACCTGGATAAACCATAGTTTGTACTCCAACATTATGAGGGTTTTTCATATAAAACAATCACAAGCAATTGTATTTTACATTGTGTTAGAAATGTGAAAATATGCCAGCAAGTATCTTGTCATTCACCAGTATTTTGTTGGTTATTTATTAAAATGATTGTGTTGGCTGGTATTTGTTTTCCTTAGTTGACCAATTGTGCTTCGTGACCTCATTACACAAGGCTCTAACAAAGACAAGAAGAGCATTTTGCACCTTGTTAGATACACTGAGATCTGTAAACTATTTTTAACTGCTTCTAAGCTATATCAAATACTTCAGAGACGATTCACGAGGTATGTTCTTTCTCTCAATACTAGCATATGAAAAGATTGTTGTTGTCAGGATGAAGGTCCGGTAGCAAAGAGGTTGAAAAAAATCAACCTGTTTTTTTCTGCAATGCAGATACATCTC